TCTTTCTCCAATACACCAGTTTATTAAATCGGTTGCTATCATTCACAAGTCTATCATTGTCAAACAACCTTAGCCTTTCAAACAACCAACTACACATTCAAATTACCCACCGTAAGTTTTTCAGCCGTAAAAAATGTTAGCTCTGCTGCTATCAAAAGTATCTAACCTTGTTCATCTATTTTGTCAAATTAAACCCAAACATAAATTAAATAAAAATCTTAAAACAAAAGAAAAACAAAAAAAGGAAGAAGATGAAGCAGAGATTCCCTTTCCTTTGAAATGGGATGTTAAGCAAATTTCATTAAATAAAGATTAAAAAAATTAAAATAACGAGCAATTAGTGATCAATCATCTTTTTACTTTACTTTAGTGTTCATTATTTCCGGCAAACTCCATTTTTTGGGCAAGAATAATATGAATTTGAAATTATTCTTTGAAATTGTTAATTTATTTAAATTTTAAAGAACTGACAACACAAGAAGAAAAAAGAACATCAATAAATCTAAATGAAGTTTGAGGATAAGAGTAAGATTTAAAAATGGTTAGTCTATGGTGTATCTGGGGAAGGTTATGGAGAAAGAGGAGAAGGGTAATGGTGATTTTCTTTTTCTTTGATTTCTAAAAAAATATATAATTTTTCCTTATTATTTTTTTAGTTATTCTAGGTCCAATACCACGTGTCTTTTTTTAATTAGTTACTATGCCACATCACCAGCAAGTGTATAACACACACTCTCTTATTTCAGCTGATTGTCTATAAAGTGTTTGATAAGTAAATTTTTTTATTAGTACGGGTTCAATTGGAACAAGCCTAAGAAGAGGTGTTTAAGTGAAATTTGCGGACAACTTTAAGTGGCTATCGATGACTTAAGCCAAGAGATGTTTTATCTCAAAGAATGTTATATCATGATATCTGGAAACAATCTGGAAGGTATTGTAGCTAAAAGCATATAAATCATAAAAATATGTTAATATGAGAGATGCATATGAAATAACATAATTCTGAATCATGAAAATACTTGCATGCTATAGGTTCATAAAATTAACATTGAAAACAAGAAATTATACTTGAAATCATGGAATTCATGAGCAAACATGCAATTAGCTAGGGTCTGATCATGAAGAAAACTAGTTTATAATGAAAAGTAATAAAGATCATAGAAATTTATTGCTTGTAGGAATCATAAACTTGTATTTTTGATGGGGTACCCATTGATGAAATCCCACATATCTGAAATAAAAATCTTGGCTTGATTCTTAAAATGAAAACTTGAAGCTTTGACACCTAGGTTTAACTTTGAGAGAAAATTTAAGAGAGAAGAAATCTAATTCAAAGAGGTTATCGGTGAATGAAGAGTTTTGGGATGATAAAAAATCCCCCTATTCCCACTTAGAATTAGTAAATATGACATAGTATAGAAATTATAGGAATAGAAAAATACCAAATAACTCTGACTTAAAAATGACAGAGGTCAATTATGGACGTCCTCGAATGAAGGCATTCCTACTAGACTAAGGGTAGTAACATTAAGCTCAAACACCCAACAAGCAAATGCAATAATAACATGCTTACTCATAACGTAAAAAGTACTAAGTAGAAAATGAATATCTTCCTATACATTGTCTCCGGATTCACGTCCAATGGCAGCTCTTGACTGGTATTAGATAGCTGCCAGAAAGAATGACTTTAGTTCCTCTTCAGCTTCTGTGACTGCGGGCTAGGCTTAATAACAAGATGGGAAACCTTTTTTCCCAAATCGTTGCATCGAATGACTTTTCAGAAGTGCTGAGTAATTTTAATGAAGACCGTATAACACTTTACAACTGCGAAGATGCCATAAAAGCAGAATAAATCTTGAGTTCTAAAGGTCATTCTATGGATGCTTCTACCGTTTGTGGATTTGTTCACGGGCCGTACAAATGTCCATAGAAAATGAAAATTTTGAGCTATGAAGTCTGGGTTTACAAATTGATCCACGTTCTGTGAAAAGCTTTCACAGTTTGTGAATATGTTCACGAAACTCTCTTCCAACTTTTTCATTTTTCCTAAGCTGTGGTTTATGGTTCGTTTTACGGTTCATGAAATAGTACGTACCAATACTTTTATGTTGATATTTGTTCTTTCGAATTTTTAATGTCTAATCTAGACTTAGAAACTTTTGTATTATTATAATATTCTTTGACCATTTCTTCTAACAAACTAGTATCAAATCAATGATTTGACAGACGAGTATGAAGATGGTGCAGTGGGGTCTATATGAATTGATTTACAATTTCTCATCTGTTGCTTTGAAATTAGAGTTGGAACGGTAAGATATATATCAAGAATTTTGATTTCGTGATTTTGATATTATGATGTTTGATAGAGGTATAAAAAATGAGTCCAATTATAGGTAATCCACCTAGAATTTTAAGGGTTGAGCTCGAGATAATTTGAGTTGGATTCAATCTCAACCCATTAGATCCTTAACCCATTTTAAGAGAATCTTCAATTGAGGCCCATTTAATATCTAATTTCAAAACCCGTTCTGGATTTTTTATTTGCATTGATGTAATGTATGTTTCTATATTGAAGGTATGCGTTATTATATATTCTATATCTTTTAGGATCTATCTATATATTTGTAGCTTCATTTTTTAAAAGGAAAAATACACAAGTACCCCCTATACTATGACCGAAATTATAGAGCCGCCCCCCCCCCCCCCCCCCGAACTTATTTTTATTTTTTATAATTTTGTGCACCTTTTGTCTTACGTGGCACACTTCGTAACTCCACGCAATTGAGGCGAGTGGATGATATTTGGATGCCACTTAAACCTTAATTTAGTTAAGGCGTCTCTCTAGGATTTTGGTGATAGTCTAGGGGTGTACTTGTGCATTTTTCCTTTTTAAATTATCTCGGGTTGAAATTCAAATTGTGTTATAAAACTTAAATAACAATATATTAAAATTATTGAGATTAAGCAGGTCAAATTGAGCGGGTCGAGATTCAACTCATTTAAAGCCCATTTAAGACCAAAGTAAACTTGGGCGGGTCAGGACCCAACTCAATTTCTATTTTAACTCATTTTTATAATCTCTAATTTCAACTTAACTCGCGCATTTGACACATCTAGTATAATATGGTATATGATATATATTTTTATTTTTATTGTGTTCCATACGACATTTGGTACTTGATGCTCATCAAAATTTTAATCTATCTCGTTCCATTTTCGGTGTCATTTTCTTTAAGTAAAAAGATTGAGAAATAAAGAATGTTATAAGTAAATTATCATTTATTTTAAAAATCAAATTTAAACTTTATCTAGCAAAATTACCAATAAAGCAGTTCATTTGATGTTTGTCATTTACCATCGTTGTGATTCTTTTATTATAGTATTTGTGAAGAATCAACTTTCACTTAAATGAATGATTAGTTTGAAGTTTAACTATGAAAATGAGAAATTGTATATAACTGTCGAATTTAATGAAAGTTTGAAGGTTATCATTCATTGAATTCACCCTTCTTTAAAGTATACATAATTGTTGAGAATGAAAAAGTTGGTTCGATAATTAAAAAAATTAAATATGGCAACAATTATGTACTTCTTCTCACTGCAACAAAAATGACCATTAACAACATTTAATTCTTAAGTGCCGTTAAATATGTATTTTTAGCGACAATTGTCACTCTTTGTATATGTCTCTAAAGCCTTTATCGACATTTATTCTAATGACACTTAACTAATGCCGGTAAAAACTTTAGTACTCTTTATTAATGTCAATATTTAATTCCGCTAAAAGTTGTTTTTGTTTTAGTGGATCCATTTCATATTAATTGAATTTTAAGGTGTTTTTAAATTTTCAAATTAACTTAATTGTTCAATCTTCAAGACTATTTTTAAAATATTCTTCCAATTTTACTCTTTATTTAATGTGATGACTTCAATGAATTTGACAATAATTAATAAGGATAAAAATGAAAAACTATATTGAATTTAGGGAAAATGCACAAGTACCCCCTCAACCTATGTCCGAAATTTCAAAGACACACTTATACTATTTGAAGGTCCTATTACCCCACTGAACTTATTTTATATGTAATTTTCTACCCCTTTTCAGCCTACGTGACATTAGCTTGAAAAAAGAAGTCAACCAACGCTAGACCCACAAGATAGTGCCACGTTGGCCGAAAAGAGGTAGAAAATTATTAATAAAATAAGTTAAGGGGGGTAATAGGACCTTAGTATAGTATAAGTGTGTCTCTGAGATTTCAGGCATAGTTTGAGGGGGGTACTTGTGCATTATCCCTTGAATTTATGTCTTAATCTACTTTTCTTAAAAAGTGTGGAACACCTCAAAAATTCAATTAATATGGAAAGGAGTGAGTATAGTTTTTCTTTTGAATTTTCTATTTTAAAATGATTTGTCTATTAAAAAATTATGTGTCTAACGTGACACTTGACATTTTTTTAAATTAAAAATTTAATTTTAAAATTGCTAATTTTTTTGGTGACACGTGACACTTTTTACGTCTCATATTATATATATGTAGTTTTTCAATTTTTTTTTTAAAAATAATAATTTTATTTTTTTTATCGTGGTGACACATGACACTTTTTGCATCTCCTATTATATATAAATAGATATATAGTGTTGTAAATCCATTGTATAGTATATGTGGATTATCCATTAGATTTATCCACTATTAAATGGGGGATTCATGTAAGGTGCTTCCAAGGTGATAAGAACTTCCAAGATAACTATTTATCTAATAATTAGATGACTTTTGGAGTGATATCTCAACATTATAAATAGAGAATCACTCACCATTTAGATGAAACACTTGAATAAGAAGATTTCTTTCATCTATCTTATACTTATTGTCTTTTTCTTATTATTATTCTTATAATATTCTGAGTTTTCTTTATAATACGTTATCAACACGAAGTTGCTACTTGAAAAGGTATTATATAAATATTTTTATTTAATTCACATATTCTCTCATTATCTCATTATGTCGAATTTATCCAAACTTGAGTTTGTGGCATTAGATATTTCTGAAAAGAATTATCTTTCATGGGTACTCGCTGCTGAGATTCACTTAGTTGCTAAAGGTCTTGATGCCACCATTACTCAGGGAAATGAAGCATCAAGCCAAGATAAGGCGAAGGTTATGATTTTCATTCGTCATCATCTTAATGAGGGCCTGAAGATTGAATATCTGATGGTAAAAGATCCACTTGAATTGTGGATTGATTTAAAGGGGAGATATGACCACCTAAAGGCAACAGTATTGCAAAGTACTCGTTATGAGTGGAACCATTTACAGTTTCAAGATTTTAAGACCGTAATTGAATACAATTCTGTTGTAATCAGGATAACCTCCCAATTGAAATTATGTGGGGAGACTATAAAAGATGAGGACATGGTGGAAAAGACACTTGCTACTTTTCATGTCTGAAATATGATATTGCAGCAGCAACATCGTGAAAAGGATTTTCAGAAATATTCTGAATTAATTTTATGTCTTTTGGTGGTTGAGAAACATAATGCTCTTTTAATGAAAAATCATGAAGCTCGTCCTACTAGAGCTGCTCCATTAAGGAGGCAAATGTGGTGGAAGTACGTGATCAATCTGATGTAAAAAGAGATGATCATCGGGGCTATAATAATGCAGGGGACGTGACAAAGATAAGAGGTAATACATCAATCGTCGAGGTGGTGGTCCTAATAAAAGGGAGAACAACATGAGTTCTCATAATAACCCCTCAAAAAGTAATTGTTATCGTTGTGACATGAAAGGCCATTAGAAGAATAAATGTCGCACACAAGAGCATTTTGTTAAGCACTACCATAATTCCTTTAAAAGGAAAAGAAATAAAAGTGGTGCTTCCTCTTCTAATGCTCGAGCTGAGTCACATATGACTCTTACAAATGATGATAAGCCGGAAACATCTCAGAAATATGATAAGGAATTGAAGCAAAATTGGCTTTAAAGGATGATGTTTTTGATGGTCTTGGTAACATTACTCATATGGAAGTTGATGACTTCTTTGGAGATCGAAATTGATGTTTGATCTTTTAGCTGGGGAATGAAGTCTGTTAATATTTTACTTATTTGCTTTTTAGTTATCATGTTCTTCATGTTGAAGTGCTTAAATTTTCGTTGTTAGTTTTGTTTCGTACTTCTTTTAATGTATTTTTTTTAATGAAAATGAATAGAAATCCCCAGTTGTCAGTTGGATTCAAGATGAGTAATGGAGATGTATGCCTTCTTGATAGTGCTACAATACCTACAATATTAAAAGAAAAGAAATACTTTTCTAATTTGGTTATGAAAATGGCATATGCCAACACAATATCAAGTAGTACAAAATTAATTGAGGGATCTGGAAGAGCGACCTTATTACTACCTAGAGGAACAATATTGGACATTGATAAGGCATTATATTGTAGTAAGTTCAAAAAAACTTATTAAGTTTCAAAGTTATTCGCCAAAATGACTATCACGTTGAGACGACTAATGAAGGAAAGGTTGAATACCTTTACATTACTACAATTAATGTAGAAAAGAAAATTGTGCATGAAAAATTACCTGCATTTTCTTCTAGGATGTACTATACAAGTATAAGTAAAGTTGAATCACATGTCGTAGTAAACAAAAGGTTTACTAATTTTAATGATTTTATTATTTGACATGACCGGTTGGGCCATTCCAAATTTAATATGATGCGCAAAATCATTGAGAACTCACATGGGCACACCTTAAAGAGCCCAAATATCCTTCAATCAAAGAAATTCTCTTGTGATTCTTGTTCTCAAGAAAAGTTGATCATTATACCATCAACAGTGAAGGTTGAAATTGAATCCCCAGTGTTTCTGGAACGTATACAGGATGATATATGTGGACCAATTTAACCTGCATACGGACCCTTTAAATATTATATGGTCTTGATATATGTTTTTACAAGATGGTCACATGTGTGTTTATTATCAACTCGCAACATGACTTTTGCGAGATTGTTGGCTCAAATAATAAGATTGAAAGCACAATTTCCAGACTATAAAATAAAGACAATCCGTCTAGATAATGCTGGTGGGTTTACATATCAGACATTTAATGATTATTGTATGTCTACTGGTATAACAGTTGAACATCCAGTTGCGCATGTTCACACTCAGAACGGTCTAGCAGAATCATTGATTAAACGTCTGTAATTGATAGTAGACCATTAATAATGAGAACAAAGTTAGTTGCGTCTATGTGGGTGCATGCTATTTTTCATGCAGCATCACTTGTGCGCATAAGGCCGACCAATTATCATGAATTCTCCCCATTACAATTGGCTTTTGGTCAAGGTCCAAACATTTTCCATATTAGAATTTTTGTATGTGCGCTGCATATCCCAATTGCTCCACCACAACACACAAAGATGGGGCCCCAAAGAAGGTTGGGGATATATGTTGAGTATGAATCTCCTTCAATCATAAAATATTTGGAGCCTATGACTGGAGATTTATTTAAGGCAAGATTTGTTGATTGTCATTTTGATGAATCACTATACCCAACATTAGGGGGAGGACATAAGCAGCTGGGAAAAGAGATAGATTGGAATTTATCAACTCTATCTGATCTAGATCCTCGAACAAATCAACGTGAAGAAGACGTTCAAAGAGTAATTTATTTACAAAACCAAGGATTACTAAATCGCATATTTCAGCTGCTAATGCTCCAGTTCGAGTTGATGTTCCAGCAGGACAAATAGTTAAGGCAAATGAGTCTAGACCACATTTGAAACGTGGTAGACCAATTGATTTCATGGATGAAAATCCTCGAAAGAGAAAAGGAATAAATGATCAAGATGATCACGGGTTGAAAGAAATATCTCAAGATGAGACCCAAGTTATAACATATGATGAAATATCCGAGGAGGTTCAAACTTCTGAAAACAATGAAAATTCAATGAATTATGTCTCGATGAGAAAGTTGTGGAATCAAAATAATATTGTGATTGACAACATATTTATATATAATGTTGCTATTGATATAATGCAACAAGATGAAGATTTTGAGCCAAAATCTGTTCACGAATGAAGACAAAGAAACATAGGCCAAAATGGAAGGATGCAATTCAAGCCGAATTGACTTCACTAGAAAAACGTGAAGTTTTCGGACCAACAATCCAAACACCTAAAGGTATCAAGCCAGTTGAGTACAAATGGGTTTTTGTACGAAAAAGAAATGATAAAGATGAAGTCGTGAGATATAAAGCGCAACTTGTTGCTCAAGATTTTTCTCAAAAACCTGGCATTAATTATATGGAGACATATTCTCCTGTGGTAGATACGATTCCTTCAGATATCTCATAAATCTGGCAGTTCATGAGAAACTGAAAATGTGTCTAATGGACGTTGTCACAACCTATTTATTTGGCTCACTGAACCACAATATTTTTATGAAATTCCTGAAGCATTCAAAATATCTGAAGCATACAATGATTCAAGAGAAACTTGTTCAATAAAGCTTCAAAAATCATTGTATGGATTTGAAACAGTTAGGGAGGATGTGGTAAAATCGTCTGAGTAAATATTTATTAATGAAAGGATACAAAAATGATACGATTTGTCCCTGCATTTTTATTAAACGCTCGAAATCTGATTTTGTTATAATAGTTGTGTATGTTGATGATTTGAATATCATTGACACTTGTAAAGAACTTTTAGAAGTTGTTGAGTGTCTGAAAAGAGAATTTGAAATGAAATATCTCGGCAAGATAAAATTTTGTCTTGTCCTACAGATTTAGAATTTGTCAAATGGAATACTTGTTCATCAATCAACTTACACAAAAAAGATATTAAATCATTTTTACATGGATAACTCACATCCATTGAGTACTACAATAGTGGTAAGATTGCTTGACGTCAACACAGATCCATTTCGACCTCAAGAGAAGGATGAAGAGCTTCTTGGTGATGAAATTCCTTACCTTAGTGCAGTTGGGGCACTAATGTACCTTGCTAACAATACTCGATCAGATATATGTTTTGTAGTAGGTCTACTGGCAAGATTCAGTTCCTCCCCAACAAGAAGACATTGACATGGTGTTAAACACGTTATTCAATATCTTCAAGAGACCATGGACATGGGTTTATTCCATTCCAATAAATCCAAGTCAGACCTGATTGGTTATGTAGATGCAGGGTATTTATCTAATCCGCATAAAGCTCGATCACAAAACGGCTATTTGTTTACATGTGGAGACACACCAATATCTTGGCGATCAATGAAGTAACGTTGGTAGCCACTTCTTCAAATCATGCAAAAATAATAGTCATCCATGAAGCAAGTCGAGAGTGCGTCTGGTTGAGATCAATGACCCATCATATTCAGGAAATGTGTGGTTTTTCTTTGAAAAAGAATACATCAACCACAATGTACGAAGATAATGCTTCATGTATAGCTCAATTGAAAGGAGGATAAATCAAAGGAGACCGGACAAAGCATATTTCACCAAAGTTCTTTTTCATGCATGTTCTTCAACAAAATGGCGAGATTGAAGTTCAACAAATTCGTTCAAGTCATAATCTTGCTGATTTATTCACTAAGGCATTGCCAACATCAACGTTTCAGAAGTTAAGATACAAGATTAGAATGCGCCGTCTCTGAGAAATCAAGTAAAGTTTTCATCAGGGGGAGTCAAATACGCGTTGTACTCTTTTTCTTAACTATGGTTTGTCCCAAGTTGAGTTTTCCTTATAAGGTTTTTAACGAGGCAACATTCAAAGCGTATTATGAGATATGTGTACTTTTTTTCCTTCACTAGGCTTTTTCCCACTAAGTTTTTCCTAGTAAGGTTTTAACGAGGCTCATAATCTATAGATATCCAAGGGGGGGGGGGTGTTGTAAATCCATTGTATAGTATATGTGGATTATCCATTAGAGTTATTCACTATTAAATGAATTCATGTATAGGTGCTTCCAAGGTGATAAGAACTCCCAAGATAACTATGTATCTATTAATTAGATGACTTTTGGACTGATATCTCAACTCTATAAATAGAGAATGAGTCACCATTAGGATGACATACTTGAATAAGAAAATTTCTCTCCTCTATCTTATACTTCTTGTCTTCTTCTAATTATTATAACATTCTGAGTTTTCTTTATAATATATAGATGATTATAGTTACTATTCTTATTATTATAACATTCTGAGTTTTCTTTATAATATATAGATGATTATAGTTACTATTTTTTGATAATTATTATATCCTAATATAATTTGTGCACAACTCAACTATTTTATAAAGTATCTATTACCATCTACTTAATATAAACGTAGTACTCTGTATAATTTCTAAATTATACGAACTTTTTTTTTTAAAAAAATATATAAAATATTATATTTGAATCACATCAAACATTGATTAGTTTGACTATACTCTAAATTAAGCCAAATACTTGATATGAGAGAGTACTAATTATGGAGTAACATAAATACATATTATCTCTTATTGACATAATACAAACAAATAACAATTGAAAAAGAAATGAAGAGGAGAGTGGCAAGCATAGGAAAAGAAGAATGAACATATGATAAGGCATTCATATTATACATTTTAGATACAAATTTTTTTTGTTCAATGTCTACTTAAGCATCTATCAGGTAATTAAAAATTAATCTATTGATGTTAATTCATATAATTAAATGAGTTGACATATTTAATTAGTTAACTTATATATATATATATATTGGACTCTTAAAAGTTTTCTCTATAATTTCAGAAAAAAATGCTCTATAAAATTATTTATCAACGTTCACGTGTTCAATCCAAATAAGTACTAGTGATTCAATATATCAATGAAATTTTAGGAATAAGATATAAGTATCTCTAGACCATGACTAAAATTTCAGAGGCACATCTAATTAAACTAAGACTCTATTACCTCCTAATTCAATTTTTAGGTAATTTAATATACCGTTTTGACTTATGT